CTTTAATTCTTCAAGAAGTTATTCATATCAAAATTTTGAGATATGCTCATTGCAATCTATTGAAGTATTTGTCTCTTCTCTTCTTGTTGTCAATCTTGAGTCCATCATTCAATAAGAAGAGAAGATTTTACTTGTAAAATCATCTTGAAATTGTGGGCTGTGTTGAGATCCCGAAAAGCTCAACATTATAAAAGTATCGATACTCCTTGGTTGTAAGTCACCGCAAGCTTTATAAAGGGTTGGATTGTACCACAAGTCAATCAACATAGTAAAAAAGACCTTCCTCGTGACGTAGATCATTGCATTGGATTGAACCTCCATAACATATCGTTGCACTCTCTAACTCTTTACTTAACGTTTTACTTTGTGCAAGCTATCATTCCATCTACGTGGTTATTTTTCGTTTAGTTTATCTATCTATCATTTGTGTTAACATTAGTTTAAAATCTTGTAGTAAAGTTTTAAAAATCAATTCACCTCCCTCTTTGTTAGCCAATTTTGGGCTTTCACACCCGTCCTAGGCCGCCTTCACCACCGTCGAAAACTGGGCCAAATTCTAGGACAGATCCGTCTTCAGGTGCCCTTTTTGCTTGGTATTTTCATTCTAACAATTAATTTGACCAATCTTATTATTGCAATTTAATTCTTACATGGAAAAAGTTGTTTATTCATTTCTAAGTAGCTGAATAATTGAAAAATAAATGATACACGGGGAGGTGGTTTTGGTTTGGCGGTGGGCTTGACTTTTTTTTTTTTTATTTCTTTTTATTTATTTAATTATTTACTATGATTAATAGATAGTTATCATTTGCCCTTTTAAAATTGATTAAAATATGGTCAAAATTAATTTTTTGGGTCAACTGAAGGTATTTTGGATGGAAACCGTCCAAAATGACTTCACCTGCAACGTTTCAAAAGGTTATGTGTGTCGACTGCAACAAATTAAATGTTTGGGAAAAGTCTGACAGTGCAATAAAGGTTTGGGATTTTTCCTGCAATTATCCCTAAAATCTATTAAAGGAAGCCTAAAAATGATTTTTACACTTTTTTCGTTTAGAATTCGTTGTTCACGTTACTCAAAAAAATGATTGAGCGAAAGAAGAGAAAAGTAAATTTGTAGGTTATCAAGAGCCACAAAACTGAAAGAAATCCAACGGTTGATAGACACCCTCCGCGGAAACATGCAGCCGCTATTGCCCAATACTTTGGAATCTTTATATATGCACCCTTCATTTCTCCATTACAAGTTCTCTCTCTCCACTGGGCTGTAGTTTCTGTTTCTTGGAACCAGATTATCGTTTTTTTTCATCTTAATTTCACCTAAAAATTTTCGAGTTGATCCCAAAAAATACAGATACACTGCAAAAAAAAAAAAAAAACAAAACAAAAAAAAATTAAAAATAAAAAAAAAAAAACATAAATAAAAAAACAAGCCAAAGCAAGAGAAAAAAACAAAAAAAAAAAAAAAAAATAAATTGAANATTATCGTTTTTTTTCATCTTAATTTCACCTAAAAATTTTCGAGTTGATCCCAAAAAATACAGATACACTGCCAAAAAAAAAACAAAAGAGAGAGATGAGTTGCAATGGATGCCGGGTTCTTCGAAAGGGATGTAGTGAGAACTGTATTTTGAGACCTTGTTTGCAGTGGATTGAAAGCTCTGAAGCCCAAGCCCACGCCACTGTCTTTGTGGCCAAGTTCTTCGGCCGTGCTGGCCTCATGTGCTTCATCTCCGCCGTGCCGGAAAACCAAAGACCCTGTAATATAACACAAAATTTTATTTATTTAAATTATGTCATGGAATTTGAACTAACTGAAACGTGTGTGTATATGTGCAGCTGTGTTCCGGTCCTTGTTATTTGAAGCAGCCGGAAGAACGGTGAACCCTGTGAATGGGGCGGTGGGGCTTTTATGGACAGGGAATTGGCACGTTTGCCAGGAGGCGGTGGAGACCGTCCTCTGTGGTGGTGCGTTGAGGCCAATCCCGGAGTTTACCAGCAGTGATTCAGTGGCTGATGATGCCGATCCATGCCTGTATTCAAGATCCAAGCATCTAAAACGCCATCATTTTCCAGATGAACCTGCCAAGACAACTCAATTAGCTGATCTTGATATTAGTTTAACACCTTGTATACAGAGTAAGAAAGATAGCCCTCTGCCGGAGAAGCGGCGGCTCGGAAGTCCGATGAATTCTGAAGAATCAGTGACCACTTTTTGTGGAGATCAGCTGGCAAGTGAACCAAAGCTTCTTAACTTGTTCAAGTAGGTTTAGTTTTTTGTGTTTTGAAATTTTGACGCCGCTTAGTACTATCTATCGAGTCTACCAAACATGTCACGATTTTTCTCTGGATCTGATTCCAGCAAGTTTTGGAGATCATTCGCACATGATATCACTTTGTTTCTTCTTGATAATATGTATGGAATGAAAAGGAGGGGAACATGAAAATTTGCTAGTGTTTTCTTTGATGGTGTGACATGTTGAAATATTGCAAATAAAGAGTAGTTTTTCCATTGAGCAAAAAGTATTCTACCCAATGACAATGTATAAAATCGACTACATAAATATTTTTCCGTCATCTCGTCGCTTTAGTTCTTTGCTGTAGAAAGATTCAAAACAACTCAAATTCTGGCACTTACAAATTATGTAGATTTTAGAATAAATTTTGTGAAAATTGATTATTTTGGAGAACGTATGGTTAAAAATGAGCTTTAGAAAAATATGTTGGCATCTCAATACAAAAAGTTCGACAAAATAAAAAGTATTATAGTACGTCGTCCTTCATGAACCCGTCTAAACAATATTCTAGTCATGGGAACAAGGTATTTCGATTGGAGGGATCGATCTTGGTAGGCTTTTGATATTTTGCATGCTTGGCAATTCATAGTTATCCAAATGAGCAAGAAAATTATTGGACGTTTCTTGAAAACACTATCAATCCCCTGCCCTTTCTTATTCTCTTAAAAAAAATTACGTCATGGTAATTCTTTAACCAAGTTGGGTTTTGGGGTCCTTGTTTGGTCTTTGATAATGTTATTTTGGAACCTTTGGGAAGAGAGAGAGAGAGAGAGAGAGAGAGAGAGAGAGAGGTGGCTTTTGAAGGAATTAAAAGGTATGACTAGAAACCAATTTGGTCTTTAAATAATGAATTATTGACCAGTGCCTTTTTACTTTCAACAATTATGGGAAAAATGAAAAAAAAAAAAATTTTTTGTGGGAATTCGGACTCATCTAATGTAAACGCTTGAATCATGATATGAAATAAGTCGATAAATCCGACAAGGGGCTTTGTTTTTTTTTTCAAAAAAATGCAGTTGCAGTATTCAGAAATTGAGATACTCAAGGATCTATGCTACTAAAGGGCTTCTATTGTTGCATCCGAGTTATTGAAATTCTTGCTCATTTACTGTCTTTGATTAGTCAGTTTTTTCATGAGAGAATCCACTCAGAATGCCAATGGATCGTGTCAAGACTTACTGTTGTAATTCTTAGCAAATATACCAAGTTGACACGTATAAAAAATAATTCTGTAACAAAATTTGTGGTAATGAATTTTGCATTTGGAAATAGGGGGGAAAAAGTCACTTATAATAGTATTCACTCACTTATTTAATTCTCTATGTGGACAAAATCTTTGTATATGATTCTGATGTTAGATTGCAGAAAGAAATGGGTCACTAATTGAAAAACAAAGGCACATAGATGTGAGGTGGAATATGTAATCGATGGGGCCGTACAATATTGGAATTTTTATGTGCGTGTGTGTGTATATATATATATATACACACATAGAGTTTAATGTACTAATATGCTGTACACTTTTTCGAGATCAGGAGCGCGAGCTATCGAGGCAGAAATTTTAGGTGTCATAGGAATATTTTGAAAAATTCGAACATTTATTAGATTATCAATGGTATTAGGGCGACATTCCAACAGGTGAATAATTGTTGAGAGAAGAGAGAGAGAGAGAGGTGTGAGTTCAAAACATAATTTAATTAAGTTCTTTGATATAGTACAATTTCGACACAGGGTATGGTCCAATAGCTTTCTCATTGAGGATGAAGCACATTATGTCGTGTGTTATTCTTTCTTTCGTTTTCTTGTTTCGTGTTTTTAATTACTTTTGATAATACACACTATTCTTTTAGAGTATCTCCAAGAAATTCTTTAAATATGAGATGCATTCTATTTTAAAGAGTCAACATTTAAAATTATATTTCAAAAGACTCTTTAAATTAACATTTTAATTTAGAGAGTGAATTTTGGAGAACCAAACTCACTCTCTATAATTAAATGCATTCAAAATGTTTCAATTTTTAATGTAGGAAAGTAATAAAATAATCTTAAAAAAGTTAGTTAAAATAAAATATAAAGAAAAATAATAAATATTTTTAGGTAGTAGTAAAATTAAGTATTAAATATAAAGAGTTTGTTGAATTGTTTCAAAATTTTAACTCTCTAAATTTATAGATGCTCTCCAAATGAAAGAAAAGTTTCTTGAAAATGCTCTTAATCCATATATTGATGTTATGTATACATGCATGCTTGGAAATTTTATATGTATGTATTCGATGGCGCACATACATTCCAAGCTTCTTGGATCTACATAGAACACTAAATGACGCCCAGTTTGTGTTTCAACCCAATCTATTTAGGTCTACTTTTTTTAACTATTAACTCATCTTGTTAAATTGTGCTGTTTGGTCGATTCAACTCTGACAATCAATTTAGTATATTTGTATATGGAGACGATGACATAAAACTTAAGTTTAAATTAAGAATTTTGATAACCTATGTTGGAATTGAACCGGGTTCAATTTGGCAGCTTCCAAAATTTGGTTAAGTCGTGCTTTGGTTAAATGACAACTCTCTTAATCCAGCCTATTGCTGGATGTGTGACACCTGGACTGATGAAGACCGTCAGATCTGCTTCGGATGGTTCTAATGCTTTATGCTCTTTCACTTGGCATATCTCTCGAAGCGTTGTTATTCTAGGGTTTCAACTTCATCCTTTTCTCTCTCTGTGGCTACATCTCTTTGAATACATTTCTTCTGTAAATCAAATCTCTGATTTGATTATATTGTGTAATACTTTGGTTCCTTTGTGGGAATATTCTGAATATCGGTGTAAGATATTTGAGAGATTTTTAGTTGTTCCTGTTGATTTAGTGTCTGATCCTTTGTGATTCGAGTGGATCGACTACTAAAGTTCTGAATTTTGATGTGCATGAATCTATGTGATCTGATGGTTCTATGAATTATTTTCATTTAAAAGTTTTTGAGTGTGCTGCTTATGCTCATCAAAATGTTGGAAAATTGGAACCTAGATCTCTGAAATGTGTCTTCTTAGGCTATGATGAACATGTTAAAGGATACAGATTATGGGTTAAATATGAGAAGGGGTATAAAGAGATTGTTAAAAAGGATGTTGTTTTTAATGAATCATTAATGCCATGTCTGGAAGGAAAAGATAAGACTTTGACTGAAAAGGATGTTCAAATTGAGGTGGAGACCCCTCATACTGAACCTGTAAATTCTGTACCTCTAGTAGAAGGAACTGATACCCAAATTAAAACTGATATT